GTAGAATGGGTAGGATTTACCCTGAGGATCTCTCCATTCGGCACCATCAAACGACACATGATCATTGAAGTCTTTGGGACTCGAGAGCTTCCCAGGCCTTGCAACTTTGGGCAACTGATGTTCGACACAGCTTGAGCATCGAAAGTCGGAACAGGCTACAATATCTCTCTCAGACCATCCTGCTCGACGGAGAGCGAGCTGCAGCACTCGGTTGTCCGGATGTCCAAGGTTCTGATGCACCTTCTTGATCATGTTCTGCGTTTGGGAGTCTAAACTCAGGAATCGAGGTCCATGGTCTTGGCATTTGATAGGAATTGCAATACTTGGTGAAGGGGAAGTTATGTCAGGTGCGTTATGGGTGTTACCTTCGGGGTTATCAGGGTTATTTTCATGGGGGTTATTGGGAGTGGCTGTTTCCCCTGGATTTTCTGAGAAACGAGTCCTCTTATCCTCGGCTGGGTCTTCATTGGGACTGTGGTTCAGTCTCTTGTTGGTGGCAAAAATGGTCACCCGGATTTTGGCAGGAGTGCCACTGCGGATCTGTTGTCGCCTGGAGAGTGTCTCCCAGCTTTCCCACTCTTGGTCTTCAATCACTTGCAAATCAGCACGTCTCTTGCCGAATGAACGGCGGAAAGGTGCGAGGCCCTTTGTACCAATGGGACACGTTCGTAAACGATCAACCCCTCTACAAACATCAACGACGACCACCTGTTTGTCGGGATATCTGGTCTGGATGGCATTGAAAAAGGGTCCATCTTGGAAAATGGCTTTACCTACTCGGGGAGCACACTGTTCTGCCATTTCCAAAAGGGCTGAAACGGCTGGCAAATGCTGAGACATGGGAAGCTGACTACCGGAACTACTCAGGGAACTTTGGTTCACAGAAGTCTCACTGCTAAGCGGTGCGAACAGTTGTTCAGGATGAAACTTACCAGACAGGCGGCGTCGCTTTGGCTCTGGTGTTTCATGTGCAGGTTCTGTCACAAAGGCAGACTGGGATCGGAAACCAAAAGTTCTTTCATTTACCTGGCAACTACATTGGATGGCACGACCTACACGATGTCCAAACGTCGCAGTGTAGAGTTCTGAAAACTTGGAAACAGCCATGCGGTGTTGGCCCAATGGTTTGCATGAACCAGCAACTGAATCATGGTGATGTTCACCCACACATTGGCTTCTCTGAATCGTTCTCCAAACAAGCTCGGATGTAGTCAGAATCTGAGTGCGCTTCCTAAGGAAATCATGACTGTTTGGGTGTTTCAATCTTCCGGCAGTGCACATATCACAAATGGCCTTGAAGGTGTCTTCAACTATGGTTTCCATTTCTCTTTGATAAACCAATTCCGACCCCTGGGGCTGTTCCAGATGGAAGTGGCAGAAATCTCCACGCCAATCCTGCACTCGGAACAAAGCATCGCATAAAAGCAAGTGGACGTTTTCAGCCCTACGCTCTGACATGATTCGATCTGCCAACTCTTGAGACTTTGAGGCATTGAACCTGTTCCAGTTACTCCAAGGGCCACACCTAGGAGCAGTCCATACATGTTGGGGTCTCAGAACCCACAAAACGTCATACAGTTTGCAACGACCTTGAAAAGTCGACAAATCTCCATGTCGCAGGCTGAATCTCTGAGCGCTCAATCCCAGCTTGGAAGTTTGCTGAGTCAATTGGCTGTCTTCGGAACAATACACTTCCAGAAGGTCACAATGTGAAGTAGAAAAATGACGTCGAAAGTCTTGCAATTGAAACTGGGGGTGTTTCTTCTTCCAATAAGTCCACATTTCTTCGTAAACCCAGTTGGCACGATCGACTTGATTATTCAAGACATCTTGAAAATAAGCTTGATCTACTCCTTGTTCTGGAAATTGTTTCAAAACTTGACAACCATTTTCATCACATATCCAAGACCGGAATTCGGAGGCATCATGTCCGGCTCTCACATCATCTAGGGTCGAGGCTGGTTCTGGGCCATCACCATCTGAGACAGTGCTTGGAGCTGCTGCGCGATCTGCGCTAGAGTCCCTTCCATCGAATTCAGTCGTTCCCCCTGCTGATTCACTTCGGCTTGCACACTCCAGGATCGTCCCAAGTCCTCGTCGGACCAACTGCCCACCTCTGACGGCGGTGCTGAGGGACGAGGGGCACACTTGGCTTTGGCTCGCAAGTTCAGGCGAGCAGGACTCTCTGGGTGATCGTCCGGGGCCAAGTTCCCCTGAGTGAGCTCCATGCGCTCCACATACAGGTTCAGGAAGTACAGGAATGAGCGATGGCTGGGCTTCTCGCTCTGGGCATACTTCTTGGCAAACCATTTCACATACTTGGGGTCTTCCTTCACCACATCGATGTAGCGTTGGTTCAGTTTGGTTTCTCCAAAACTGATGCGAAGATCTGAGAGCTGGGCAAACGATATCTTCTGGAACTCTTCTTCCTGCTTCTGTTCCACGACGGCTGCAAATCGGTCGGCCAACGACACAGGATTGCTGCTGGACATCACTGGAACTGGTATGAGACTGATCGACGGGACCACCCTTTTCACTGATTTCAGCCACACTACGGGATCCGACATCGGTTGCAGATGACGACAAACCCTCATGAACATGCATGACAGGCAATGGCTTTTCGGCTGGCTTCGGTGTTGACATCCCTGATTGCTGTGCTTTCCTGATGAGTTCACAAAAATCCACCAAGTACAGTTTCTTTTCCGACAACGAAAGCTTCATGGAGAATCCCAGTGAGGCAAACTGCACTTCGTCCTGTGCGGTGTCAATCCTAGCCCCTAATGTTCTAAAAACATTATTGGAGATCAAAAAAGGTGTCTGGGATTCCACAACACAAAGTTTGACATACCATTTGGCTAAGGGAATCAACAGGGCATACTGACAGGTGACGGTGCTGCTGTTGCCAAACCTGAAAACGGTGCTACACGGCACGCGATGGGTCTGTGCTTGCACGTCCTTGGGAAGGTGGTTCCAAAGATCATTCAACTGAGTCTGACCAATGACAGTTTGGCTGGCACCTAGATCAACAATCCCGTACGGACCGTGGCTGACAAACATGGCTACACTCTCAGAGGCCTCTGTGGGCACAAACATTGGTGGCTGCGTCTCAGACTGACTCTTCTGTGGAGGGCTTAGGCGTCCCTTCACTGCATTCAAAAACCTGGACAACCGATCAGGAGTGAGGTGACTCATGGACATGTCATGTTTACCTGTCTGACCCATAAAACACAAAGCTTCATGATTTTCTTCTACCGGAGTCAACCAAGGAACATCCATGGACGAGGAAATCGGGATCATGTCAGCATCATCAGAACCCTGAGAAGTCAAGGCTGTGGCAAGACCGGCAAAGGCGCTATCTTTGGCAGAGTTCATGGCTGTGCTGGTCGAAGAAGATCTATTGAGCGGACATTCCGCCTTCCAATGACCACGAGCGCCGCAGCGCCGACACTCACTTTCCAAAATTCGCTGTGCCAAAGGCTTGCGCCCTTTTCCCCATCCCTTGGACTTTCCCTTGAACTTCCCTTTGACATTGGTACTTTGGCCTTTGTTGGGAAACCAGAATCCCCTGTTCTTATTTCGATCTGAAAGCCTCTTGCGGGCGTCCACATAAGTATTGTAGCAGGCTGCTAAGTCAGGGTCCCCTTGCAAAGCATCAACCAGGCTATCTTCAAACTGCATGCAGACTACCGCGTCAGGGTCGTTTTCATCAAAAGGAATTTCGCTTTCATCCCACATTTCACCCACATACGCAGTCTCTTCTTCGGCAAACAAGGTGGCTGGTTCATCATCACAAACTGCATTCACATCATAGGTCTTGTTGCGGGCTGTAGATCGATTCCCAGTTTGAAGCTCATGAAAAAAACTTGGATCCCAAAAGTTTCAGAGAGGAGACAATTGATTTGTACTCTAATGCACCCTTGGCGTCAACAATCAGTTTCTTTTTATCTTCTGCAGAGAGCCCCGAATTCCTGAGCAAAACGTACGCTCGAACCTCTTCGAAGCCCACACCCATTTGCAGGAGTTCCTCAAACTGAACATCGTGACGAGCCAAATAGCTCTCATGCGCCTCATCTTGGCGCTGCACTGTTGTAAAAATCGCACGTTCGAACCTCTCAAACTTGTCCTCCAAATTGCTTTTCCCCCAGATACCCCCAAGCGTTGTAACCAAAAGTTTAACACCATCCATTGAATTGACCTTCAACTTCGTGGCATCAAGTCTCATGATCCGCTTGAAAGATGAACCTTCACAGAGCATTGCCGCTCGTGGGGCAAGATGATTCAGGTGTTCAGGGGGCCACAAATGAGCTAGGAATTCAAGCTTCTTTGTATACTCATTGATATCTGTCTCACCTGGCTTAAAGCTAGGTATCATAGCCCATGGCAAATGGGACAACGTGGGGCCACCAGTTGCTGAGGTCGGCAAACCAGAAGCTGCTGAAGCTGTCTCATTTTCGGCCATGCTGGATCAAACTGCTTCCAGGAAACAAAGGAAATCAGAGGCCGCTCTGAATCAGAAAGTCTTCCTGGCAGTGGCAGCTCCGCTACCAGTGTTGGATCGGATCCCAACAACTGGCGCGGGCCCCAACCTTTCCAAAAGATAAAGAACCAAAATGAACTGAAAGGGACCCCTGGTCCAAACAACCTGTCGCCCACCGGAGCGAGTCACGGAAGCTCCTTTTCTATGGCTGCACCTCACGCACACCACAGTCACACGGGGCACCCTAGCCCTACACAGAAGGAGTCTCGGGCCGCAACCTCTTGCAGCAGTCATATATGTTCACCCGCTGGAAGTTCCATGTGGACACAACTCATTGTGATCATCCAGAAAACAATATACCAACATGCAAAATTGGCTGCAAAATCACAATATATATATATGTGTGTGTGTGTATCGTACTTAGATGATGCGGCCCAGGTTGTTTTATGAGAAAAGTCGGATTCACGATGTCTCGTGGGGATTGATACTTTTTGAGGGCTGAGACATGCTGAGACAGTGTGAG